ACTCGGCGCTGAGCCCTGGTAGGGCCGGGAGGCTGCCCTTCCACCTGGAGTAGAGCCTGCGCTCCTCGCTCCTCTCCGCCCACGAGGGCATGCAGCTCCCGGCAAGTAAGGCCGCCGCGGCTGCGGCTGCGGTGTGTGTATGTCCTAGGGACGCGCGTCCATCTCTGCCTTCACGCCTTCCCGGGTTCTCATCGCTTCCCTTCCGGACCTGCCCATCCCACTGGGAGATCAGAGGGGTGGGGGTGCGCACCGCTGGCCCGGAGCTGGGGCGCGCGAGCCCGTGTCGGCGCTCCGCCGGTAGCAGCCGGACGTTGCCCGGCTGTCCGAGCTGCTTACCCCCGTGCAGTAGGTAGGGTGGTGGTGGGGCTGCTAGAAACATTCTCCAAGGTCTCCGCTACCTCTGACGTCTCATTTCAGGAGCGTGGCACCATCAGGGACAGTTACCTGCTTTGGAAAGGAGGTGATTGTCAGTCTTGTTTTCAAAGAACAACTAGCGTCCTGACTGTGGCTACCGTCTGCGCCTTTTATCGCGACCTGCCAACTATACCAGTCTTTGCTCAAATAGGTGTTTTTTTTCCCCACCACCTACGTACCTCTTTCAAACTCCAAAGCAAAAACCTCTCTAATCGTGAATGATCTGTATGTGTGCGATTTGTTTTCTTGTGTGTGGAAGTATTCACACATAATGTGTGCCTTCAGCTATAAAAGAGTCCAATATACCTTCCAATTTATAAGTTTATAGACCTTAAAAAACTTTCCTTCTGGCTAACTAAAAATTGGTGAGTTTACTAGTTTGTATAAGTAGTGAAGAATTCTGAAAGTCAGAAAACAGTGCTGCCAAAAAATTTCCTAATGTGTTCAAATAAGTAATACAATTACAGGAAAAATTTACAGTTAGATTTAAAGTGTTTGTCTAAAGCATTGGTTCTCAACCTTCCTAATGCCGCAACCCTTTAATACAGTTCCTCATGTTGTGGTGACCCCCAACCATAAAATTATTTTCGTTGCTACTTCATAATTGTAATTTTGCTACTGTTATGAATCGTAATGTAAATATCTGATATGCAGGATGTATTTTCATTGTTACAAATTGAACATAATTAAAACATAGTGATTAATCACAAAAACAATATATAATTATATATGTTTTCCGATGGTCTTAGGCGACCCCTGTGAAAGGGTCGTTCGACCCCCAAAGGGGTTGCGACCCACAGGTTGGCGACCCACAGGTTGAGAACCGCTGGTCTAAAGTGAATGATAAGTTTGAATTCATTGTATGGTGGAGTTTTTTTTTAATTTTGGTAGTAAAAAGCTGCAACTGCAATTTAAAATGAGGGAAATTTTCATTTTCTGTATAAAAACTGCACAAATAAAATTGCCTAGTTTTTCTTAATGACAAAAGGTAGGTACACACATATATAATTTTTCTGTTTTCTTTAATTATTGAGTTCATATGAAATAATCCTTTTATTGATTTTTTTTTTTAGAAAGAGAGGGAGAAAAACATCAACTTGTTTCACTTATTTATGTATTCATTGGTTGATTCTTTTAAAAAATATTTTTATTGATTTCAGAAGGGAGAGGGAGCTATAGAAACATCAATGATGAGAAAGAATCATAGATTGCTGCCTCCTGCACACCCCCTACTGGGGATCCATCTCCAAACCAGGGCATGTGCCTGATAGGGAATCCAAACGTGACCTCCTGGTTCTTAGGTCAAGGTTCAACCACTGAGCCACACCGGTAGGGCCATTGGTTGATTCTTGTATGTGCCCTGAAGGGGATGGGACCCACAACCGTGGCATATGGTGACAACTGAGCTACCTGGCCAGGATGAAATATTTTCCATGTATAACACCATAAATAGATTATTTGGCACAGGTTATAGTCATTAAAATTAAATTTTATTTTAGCATTTTGATACTTGCTTCACCTGTGTTTATACTGTGTTCTCTTTCACTGGTCTTGAGCTTTAATATCCTGTGGATTATATCTTATATATTACCTTTCTTACAGTTTGTCTTAATTGATAAATTTCCCCCCCCCCCCCCCCAGGTGAATTATACTTCAGTGTATTACTGGTTGTACACTACGGATGGGAACTATCAAAGTTTATAATGTCAAAAACTTTTCTTAGACGAAAAGTATCTTCCACAAAGGTATGCTATACTGAAATGGTCATGTAATAATTGCCCAAAAATAATTACTTTTTTGTACATGTTCTCAGTGATTTATTACTGTATCAATGTGATGGTGCTCAGTATCTGTTGTAATTAGTGATCTAAAAAGTCTAATAAGTGGTGAAACAACTGAACACTGAAAGTACAACCTTAATTTTGAAGAAAAAAAATTATAATCCCAGTCACAAAGAAAAGGCTAACCATTCTAGAATGAAAGAGCAGTAGAAGAAAATAAACATATGAGTTGTAGTTGGTGTTAAAGTTTAACAACAGGCCCTGCCTCTTAGAAATCATATGGTTCAGTGAGTTAGTTCTCAGCAAAGTTAGAAGGTAGAGTAGGTGAAGGTCAGACAATATGATACTCATATGCAGAATAGCTATTTTCCTAGTGTTTGGTCTGATTTATCTTTTTTAAAAAATATATTTTTATTCATTTCAGAAAGGGAGAGAGAGAGAGAGAGAGAAACATCAATGGTGAGAATCATTGATCAGCTGCCTCCTGCATGCCCCCTCCTGGGGATCGAGCCGCAACCAGGGCATGTGCCCTGACCAGGAATTCAGCCGTGACCTCCTGGCTCATAGGTCACTGCTCAACCACTGAGCCACACAGGCCACGCCTGATTTATCTTTGATCTTAAATAAATTATGTTACTTGGCCTTTTCTCCTTCTCTTTTCTTGAGTAAACGGGAGTCCACATTTATGTAAGAAATAAAACTATAAAATGTATAACTAACATGTAGATCAGAATTGCTATCAAAAGAATTACTATACTAATAAGAGATTTTTTTTTATGTACTCTGGACTATATAAGAAAGTGGCCAAAATTGAATAGTGACAGTCTTTTGAAGAGGAGGAAAGGAATCAAGTAGTTATGACTGAAATTTTTCCCAGAGGTTTTCATTTCTTTATCCACTATTGATAATATTCCTAAACCTCTCCCTTTAAAAGAGTGAATATATTCATGTCATAATTATAAATTATAGTATCAGGATTCTTAGATTATTATCTTCACAAAGTCTTAAAGATAATAGGGATTATTTTGATGTATGAAATGTAATGTGTTAACCTGGTTAAGGAAGAAGTATTATTCTTCTCACTTTGTACATGGTTAAAGTAATATTTTATTTCTCTGTTTTGTTTTGCTTCTTTTTGATAGGTAATTTAAATATTTAGGTTTCAGCCCTACAAATGAGTTTTAAAAGAATCAGCCTACTCTTTATCCTGGGAAGATTACATTAATAAAAAGAATTACATCTGTATTCTGTATTCCTTTATATAGTATTCATCATTACCATGGTCAAGTAGACAAGTTATGCATTTGCACTTATTGTAAAGTACAAAAATAACAAATGTATAT